CAGCAGAAGAATGCAAGGATGTAGTCCAGACTGTCCACACATTGTCTGACAAAATGTGCAACATTCTGGACTTTTTTTTTTAAGACAGTGTCTTGCTTTATAGTCCAAGCTGGCCTGGAACTTACTATATAGGCCAGACTGGCCTTGATCTTATGGCAATCCTTTGGCTTCAGCCTCCTGAGTTCTAGCACTACAAGCATGTCCCACCATCCCCAGCTAACTTTATAGATATGGAAACTACTAATGATGCTTCATTTAACCAAGCACTGTGATCTTGGTAAATAGAAGTGATAATAAAACTCCCATACTAGCTAGGCTTGGTGATCCAAACATGATTACTTTCATTTTGTAGGCTGCTGCAAGCAGTTCACAGACTTCAACCTCAGCATCAACAATGAGACTCAGTCTCAAAGAAAAAAAAGTTTAACTATAGATCACAGTGAGTTTCCTCTGTTCAATCCCTAGTGCTCTTTCCGTGACATGTAGATAATGCTATCCAACCACTTTTTAATTCACAAGAAGACAGATATAATTTTCTAATTTCCAATTTCCCCCAACAATAAATGAGGTGAACTCATCAGTAGAGAGAAGACTTATTAATCTTTTTCTAAATTTCTCTTTCCTTCAGGCCTGTGATTACTTTAACCAACACTTAACACAAGCCAGCCTGCAACAACACTTTTAAGGTCACACCAAGAACATTCGGACCTCACATGAAAATCTTCTCTGGTTCAGGAGCTTGGATTTGCTACTTGCCATCATTCCTTCCCCTCCCACATTGTATCCACTCTGCCATGCTCTTTCCAGGATGGACAACCTTTCTTAGCCTAACTATTGGTGCACTTGCAGAGTAGCATTTGGGGCAAACTCATCTGTGAAACAGAAATGGAGTAAAAGAGACAGCATATAGATCTCTCAGGACAATTTCTAGACATGGACAAGGGACACCAGGGGGGAGTGTCCAGCTGGAGGCAATTTTCTGTCTTTGCTGGGTTAAAAATATGGGTCAATTCTAGTTATTAGAGCAGCATAACTTTGTTAACTTGCTTAAGTCATTGTTAAAGCAAGTTATATATCCAGTACCAAAAAATGCCGTGGTAAAATTGTTAAAAGACATAGAAAGTTATGTCCTATCTTTTCCCAAGACTGTAACAATTAACATACAATCACAGGAACAGGTGGGAATTGTTCTCCATGAGGCCTGGTGAAGGGGCAAATGTCTTTCCCTTCACAGGCTACTTACTTGGACTCTAGTTCATTCAGCATTTAATTCTTTGTTCAGGAGATCATGGATTTGGCACTTAATCCCTCTCAGTCAGTTCAGAAGACCTTGGCTACCCCTCCCTCTGCTTGCCATTCTGGCAGCACTTTCCCTTGTCTGGCTTTTTTCCTTACTTGCTTTCATCTCCCTGGGATGTTCTACCACTGCACAGACTGTTTCAGCTCCACCTGAATTCACTACCGCTGCAGCCTCCTCAAGTGCTATGCAAAGGTCTTGATGCTCCTCTTCTAAAGCCCACTTCTGGGCCCACCTCCTACTATCATACACGACAAAAGGCTGTGATATCAAGCAAGGTTGTTAGAGAATATCTGTGCTTTTCTATCTCAATTTTGCTTAATCCCGACAACCTGGAGGCAGACATATATGTTCATCCCTCATTTAATTTTAACATCGTAAAAACATAGATGTGCATATATCTCTGTGATATGATTCTTTTAATTCTTTTGGAAAGATACCCAGAAAAGGGATGGCTGCGTCAAATGGAA